TTCTCTTTTTAATGTCTAGAAATCACTACAGTAGTGACGTGGGTCTTCAAATACCCTGAAGTTAAAATTTATGAAAAAAAAGCCAACTTCAAATAACTTCCATAATTAAGATCTCAAACTTCATAATTATAAACATGTGGCCTTCGGGACACATTAGCAATTTAACTGAAAGACAGCTTGTACCAGTCCAAGGATTTGGACAAAAGAATTAATTTGATCTGCAGAAGCAGGATGCTACACTGGATATTATCATCTGTAATCCATATGGATTACTTTGTATTATGTGCCTTCTCAGCACTTAAGAAAGTGCAACAGGACTTTCAGGACTGAACAGTAGCAAGTCAAATGACTAAAACACTTTCCCCTTTCACCCTCATACTTGTAAAAAAAGAGATAGTAGACTATGGGCAAGAAAACACAGTACAAATATTGTAAATTTTCTGCAATGAATTGTCATCTTTACAGAAATACCAAAAAAGTTACAAATATATAAATATTAATTGCATTAATCCAAGTTTGGAATTCTTCAATTTCCAGATATAAATGGAAGATGAATTTCATTAAAGTTATTGAGTTTTATTCCCAGATGTGAATAGTTGGGGTATTTTTGAACATGCAGTTGCTAAACCAGCAAGTATTAATACTATTTTAGGTATATTTTTGATAGGAAAGACAAAAGTCATAGAAGATTTGTTCTAGGCCATAATGGAGGCTATTGAGATCATAAACCAAGTCAATGAAAATTATACAGAAGGATCAAAACAAATCTGAAACTAAAGCTCTTAATTTCAAAAAGAGGAAATTATAAATGAGGGGGAATAAAACCATATGCATATAAAAATAGTAAAGAAATCAAATTTAAGTTAAATGTGCAAAACTGAAAACTTTTATCTCAAGTTAGCTCTTCAGCAAATTGCTGGGAATATGTAAATATAAGTGAGCTCAAAAGAGGTTTTTCATACCAAGTACTTTAATTTAACATTACAAAGTTGTCTTCACTTCAACAAATTACTCCAGAGCCTGTTTCTCTTCTTGCTCTCAACTCCACTGCACAAATGCAGCTCCTGTACATGGTAGTGAGTCCTTCTGTTCAAGATTAGCTATATGCCATATTCATTTTAGGTGTTTCACAAATACAATATATTCTGTAGGGAGTCATGAACATTCGAAGATAATAGATTTAAAATATAATAATTTAAATCACAGTTTGCATTTGAATATATCTTTATAATAGAATGGACATTGGTTATATTCTGGAGAAAGAAAGCCTGCTGGACATCTAACTAAAAGGCTACATACTGGGATAAAAGTGTAATTAATTCATATTAATATTATAGTATATCTCTGAAGGCATTTTAATTATTTTCTACCAAAAAATGTTTTTAGTTAAATCTGTATCACTTTAGTTTACCTCCACTTTGTAATAAAATTTTTCTTAAAAATTATGAACTACTGATATTTAGCAACACACTATCTATTACCTCAGATTTTAAAAATTAAGTTTAGTTATGATTTTAAAAGTTTAAGGGTCTCTGGAAAGTTCGTGATATTTAAAAATATTAAGCCAATCAATTGGAATATGTCAGAAAAATTAAAACTTAAAGCTCTCATCTCTGTTTCATTTTAACCACAGGAAATTAGAAAAAACAGCTAATTAGTCTACGTAAGTATTTATACTCAATTTATATACAAAAACTATATAATTAAAGCCAAAGAAGACCTTCCACTAATACATCAACTGTTTGTAATTCCATGGGGTTTAAGTTTCTCTGGCCGATGTCCTATAATCTGTAAGAGTAGCTGTTTCCTCACCTAACAGATGACAAATTAATATGTTAGTCATGCCTGATTAAACCAGCTTAATATTTTTGGAAACAAAGGCAAAAAAAAGGTTCAAAAGCTAAAATACAGTACACAGACTTACCACAAATAATTTCTGAGAAATACCACACTGGAAATCGAAGCAAAACATCTCAAGAGATAACTTGAAAACCAACTGAGATTCTTTCCATGCTAAGTATTGTCAACAGATATTTTTCATATACTTTTAAATACCACAAAATTACATAAACTTTAGAAATATGCAAATGATTAATACAATAGAAAGTCTGAGACAACAAAATCCCATTAGTAACCAAAAACCTTAAGGGAGTGGGTTGGGAAACATTCCTTGCACATTATTCTATCAAGCTGGAAACACTACGTTCTGAGAGTACACAAAGACATTATAATTAATGTTACATAAAAACCTTGTACAGTAACAGCCCAAACACTATTGGCTGAATCCTGCACTGTTAAAGGTAAGAAGAGGCACAAATCTAATAGGTAAGAGGATCAAGCTGTAACATAAAACCACCTGCCTCCACTAGAGTTGGCAACTAAAGACGCTGAGTTCCAAAATTCGCCTCTTTTCACATGCCATTTTGACAGCTTCTTTGTGAAGCCACACACTTCCTAGGTACTGATAAATGGAAACAATCTCTTTATAGTACTTCACGAATAACTGCTCTAGTACAGAATGAGAAGAAAAATGTTAATTTCTTACTGCACATATAGATTATTACATATGGAAAATTTTAAAGATAACTCTGTTAAAGCTTGTTATAGACTACCTCTATTTTCCCAAAAGAAACAGGTTGTCTATAGAAAGTTTTCTGAGGTTCTGGCATTGCTTTATTATTTTCTGTTATTTTTTCCCCTACAGTAGCTGTATAGTAGGATAAATTACAGCAGTTCTTACGAAAAGAACCCACAACAAATATCAAATAAAAACCACATTACCCTGAGGATGGACTAAGCAAACAGAAACCCTTCTCTCACCTCTGGGATAACAGTCCCAACTGAATGCCCTAGATTAAATTATTCTGATATTTTGAAATGTGTTGGTTTGAGGGTTCCCAAAGGGCAGAGGCAACATGTATAAAAAAATAAGAAACTCATCCGTCTTTCAGCTAAGAAAAAACCTTCTTTTTCTGTCCTTCCCTCTATATTTATGCATGAGGTTATTTTAATACTTGGCAAACTGGGTATCACTGTCAAGGTAATCTATTAAAGCTGTCTTTTAACCTAACCTATGTTTGGTTAGGAAAAATAAATTTCCACTCTAATTTGTGGTAAGGCAACAAAGTACCAGAATTTAAGAGTTCCAAGCAGGAAAAGTCATTTGACATTAAGAACTTGGCCACCATTACAAATCTCTTAAAATATTTCCCAAACAGTTATTTCACTGTGAACTGCCATGTGAATATTTTAATTCTAAATGAAAAAAATGCCTTTACATAACTTAGTTTGGTACAAATGTAGTATATTCATATATTTATAGAAGAGAAATCTCCTTCCAAAAAAGATTCTTCACATACGAGCTCATAGATAAATAAGTTACACAGTAATAACTGTTTTAGTTATGATACAAGGATAATTTTTGCTTGAATTGATGAATAATACCAAATAATAGGTTATGACACATCCAGAAATGAAAAAAAAACCTGAAATCACACTCAAAACTTCACAACTCTGACCACATATTTTGTTTTAGCCTGATTTCTGATTTCACTATTGGTGCCTTATGGTTTCTCTGGCTGAAGTGTGTATGAGCAGTTTTCTGCAGAAAATCAGTAGGAATAGTAGAAAACCAGTAAGCAAATCAATAGCTATTTCCCATATAAACTTCTTGAAGTAAAATAACACAAACACATGAATATGACAGCCCCTATGAAGAAAGTAATCCTGAGAATTAAATTATATTAATGAACAGCAAATCTTAACACATTTTATGAGGCTAAAGAGACAGCTGCTGCATCTGAAATCTGACATTTAATGAATTTTCAATAAAATTTAAAATCTGGTCTAATATTTATGAAATACAGAAATGATATTTTAATTAATTGCAGAAAATGCTTTAAAGTTTTAAAGCAAGAAAGTCCTAAGATTTACTGTTTGTTTTCACCTTCCTCTGTGCTTTTGACTATACCAAAGAAATGTGCACTGGAAATCTGTACTGATAGATGTACTGGCACAAAAACATGCTAAGTCACATCCTGTAGCAAAAAAAAATGTAGACAGAGGAAATACTCTATTAATAGATTGAATGACTGTTTTCTTCCATCTTATAATACAGAGGTAAAGTACGATTTTTCAGAGAGACATGTTTGTGATCACTTTAAACTCTATGCTTTAGATGTAAAATGGAGATAATTGAACTTCCCCATCTTTGTGAGCTGTTTTGAGACTGAAAGTAAAATTAAGTTACAAACTTCTGTTAACTCCAGGCAATTTTTTTTTTGTCAGTGAATTGTTTCACTGACTCACGTCTCACTATGTAATCCAAAACCACATTTCTTGTTATTTCACATCTCATCAGTACTCTGACACTACTTCTTTTCATTGTTTCCCACCAACACTGCAACCCAGTAGTATATACACTATATGACATTTCTTGAAACAAGCAAAAATGACCAGGCAGTATTAACTTGAACTTACTGTACTTTCACAAGACTAGAAAGTGTAAGTGCATTTTCTGTTTGTTTCTTAGTCTGAGAATTAGAATCTGCATACTAATCTTTTGGGTCAGCTCTGATGTGTATCTGTTTTATGAACACATTACTGTACAGTATTTCCTATAATCTTTCCTTTATATGTCTGACAATTTTAAAAAAAAGTGGGAGTAGAAGACTCAACAGTTTGTGTTTATATAAATCTGGATTAAATAGTTCTTATTCTAGTACATATTTCAGTAGCTGGAATAAAACAGGCTGAAAAAAATTACTATGGCATGACAGTATTATCCAATGGATTATAATAGGATTTTGTTTAATTACGTGAGTTACTCTCTCTTACACGGTCTAGAGTTCAACTGCAGTAATGTGTTTCAAACGTAAACCTGTAATTACTATTTTCAAGTCTCTCTCTTCACAGAAAATAATCAAGCATATTAAAAAAAAAAAAAGTAGCATAATTAAAATAACAACTAACTACAGAGAACATAAATTAAGATTACTAACCCACAGCATGAACTCTTCCTCTATGCTTCTTTGAAATCTTGTTTGCTTTAACAATGTGTAGAGCATTTTCTTTGAACTGCAGCTCACAAAGTCTTTCAAGAAGAACTGTCATTTCTTCAGTGATGGTATCCAGGTAAGTTTCGTTAATAAACTTTAATGACGAAGATGGACCAATAGTTCCACTTAGTATATACAAATCTTCTTTTATCATTGTGCACAATTGGGGTATGGAACTTTGGTAACCATGAACCACCTTATCAAAATTTGTTTCACCACAACTAGACAAAATACAGTTTTGTAGAAGATCACTAACCAGTTTATTCTGCATATTTTGATACCTCATTAAGACTTCTGCTTTGGGATAAAGAAACAAAAGCTGCTGTACACACTGAGTTTTAAACTCCATTTGTTGTGGCAAAGCATTAGTGTTTGTTTCTTCTTGACTTTGCAGTCTGTTTACTAAAAATTGTCGAAGATGCAATCTCACATCATCCCAAAGAGATTTCACATCCACAGCTGAATCATCCTGAATGGTATGAAGCGAAGATGTTAACTCAAATGACATCCCACTTGCAGTACAGGGAAATGAGACACCACATTGACTAGAGAGGTCCAGAAGGAAGTGAAGTATCATTTCTTCTTGATTCTTCTCATTCTTCAACAATCTTTGCTAACAAAGGTAAATCAGACAATACTTTAGAAATTTTCATTAATTCTGGTTCATTAAATGAACACCGTCATATTAGATTAAAAACAGTTTCCTATACTAATTATCTTAATAGCAAGCAAGATATGTAAGCAACTGAAATTATAAAATCCATGGAAAACAGGATTTATAAGCGAATTAATTTTCTTCTCTACCTCTGCCAATAACTCACACTCATCTTCTCATCTTTCTTATAACCCCAACCTCTTTTCTCAACCAATTCTACACCACAGTTCAAAGGAAACCCTTGGTAGCCTTTTTTGTTGTCACAGTATCTTTTAAAGAAAACGGTATGAAAAAATTACTTAAGATTTACACAGAAAATGACAGGCTTTTCTCATAAAACCAAGCAAGGAATTTATAAAATGGTCACCTTCTATGGCTCAGCAGGCAATCATCAAAAAGACCATTCTAAGAATAAAAAAGTCTTCCCAGGAGTCCCTTAAAGAACTAAAACTGAAAACTTGTCAAGAATTAAAGAGCCTTAGATGACACAGGACAGAAGAATAAGAAGCTTGTAACCCATCAAAACAAGATGCAGACTGATACATTAGTGACCTCCATGTACATCTCTGCTGTATGGGTTGGAGAAGGCAGTCAGTTAACAAAGCAAGTGAAATCACATGGCTGCTGCTCCTTCTTCATTCAAGTCTGAAGAGCTCTCTCTCAGTCCAGGGCAAGGATCTCTAACCTTAGAGCTGCTTCAGCTTCAAGAGGTCATGCAGCAAATGGCAGCTCCTCTTGCCATAGCTCAATACTACCATCACAAGAAAACTGAGTGGAATTGGTAGTATTCTTAACTTTCTTAGTTTCAATAGGAAAGCCTTAAGTAGACGAGAATCTAGAAACCCTCTCACTTGCTCCTTCATCTCCCATTACTTCTCTCCAACAGAAAAAAGCATTGTGGCAAACCACCTCAGGGGGTTTCATTCCAGTCATGTCCTTTATCTGGGTCTCTGTCACAGTTTCAACCCAGGCAGCAACCATGCCCCAGGCAGCCACTTGCTCACTCCTGTACCAGCAGGACTGAGGAGAGGACTGGAAGGGTAAAAGCCACAAAACTCATGGATTGAGAGACAGACAGATTAACAGGTAAAACAAAAGCCGTGCACAAAAGTCAAAAAACAAGGAATTAATTCACTGCTTCCAATGGCAGGCAGGTGTTCAGTCATCTCCAGGACAGCGCCACTCATCACCAGGTCATAATTTCAGACATACCTATTCTCTTTCTTCCCCATACTTTATATACGGAGCCTGATGTTACACGGTCTGGAATATCTCTTTGTTCAGTTTGGGTCACCTGTCCTGGCTGTGTCTCCTTGCACCCCCATGCAACCCTAACATCCTCACCAGTGTCACAGTATGAACACCAGAACGGCTCTGTGTAAGCCCGGCTCGGCAACAATAGATAAACCTTTATATTGTGCTGTGTGTTCAGCACAAATCCAAAACATAGCCCTGTAATAGACACTAGAAATCAGCACAGTCTGCAAGTCTCCATCCTATAAAGCAAGACTGATAAAGAAACCTTTGCTATCTTCCACGTTCAGCATTGCTGATTTATTTAACTTACAGTATTTGAAGAAACTATTAGTTTTATTTCTGTTCCCATTTTGAAGGAGAGGTAAATTATTCAAGTTTCAGTATGGCATTGCATAAACATAACCATTTTGGAATGCCAAATACTAAATCTTTCTCCTGCAGCAAGATTTTATCAATAGATGAGTATGCTTTAGAGTAAAAAAAAGTTTTAAATTCATAACTCCTATTCCTTGTTCTGGATGTTTCAAACCTGTTGCATACCTTAGAGGGTTTAAACTTCTTGTTGCCTTCTACTCTGACCAGTTTCTTGAAAAAAACCCCCACTTTCACTACAGGAACTAATTCTGAATAACAAACTGGAAGCTTGATTGCATCTTATAAAGAAAGCCTTAAGAATAACAGACTCTTCCATTTTAGATCTTTATTTAAAAAAAATTCTTATGAATTCTTCTTACTTAACAAGCAGGAAAGATGTGGAAGACAGAATAATAAGGGAAATTATCAGTTGAATATCATCCTACAAAAGCATGTGCATGTAATAGAAATATGTGCAACTGGTTCAAATCTTAAATCATATATATCAAAATGCATAATACTGATCCCATTGTCTTTTATTATCTGCTAAACTACTCTATAAAGTAGAGTGTTTCAAAGTGTAAACTGAAATCCTGATTACTAACTACTCACTGTGTTGAAAGGGTGTCTCTTAGCAAGTAGACTTCTGGAATTTAAATGTTGGGGGGTTTTTTATGACTCATGCTCAAATACTACATTCTGAAATGTACAAAGCAAGAGAAGTGGTCAAAACTGTGCATGCACCTGATGCCTTCAATTGTGAATCCAAATGACCTTCCAAGCAAATCCCTACTGCTGCTTTGTAAGGCAATGCAGAAATATTTTAATATATCTAAGGATTGTTTCAAGACCTTTGCAATTTAAACTACAGCATTAAAAATAGGATCTTGGAGATTATATTTTAATGTAGTGATACTCAGAAAGAGTACCTGAAGGGAACTTTCAAGCTCTGAAAAGTGTCATCAAGTGTCTTCACACATTGCCTGTACTGATATACGCTATTTAAATTAAAAATTAACCTATAAAAATATTGCAAGAGACCATGTCAGCACTATTCAAGAGAAAAAGATTCAAATTAGTAACCAAAGGTTTTGGACAAGCATAGAAAGTTCCCTTTTGAGCACAGGAAGTTAGTCACAACAGTGACATATAGAAAACCAGTTGCAGTTTACCAACCGGATTACTGCATAATATGCACAACTATCTACCATATCAATAAGCAAGTACAGTAAGATGAAGACTTGATTAAAAAAATAAACTGCCATTATTTTATCAGGAACAGAGTTTAATGACAATGTGTTAGTGCATACACTCAGCTTTTAAATATTGAGTTACAAGACAGTACACAGAATGACAAAACTTCACATTAACATTTTCAGGCTTCATGAAGAAATTCTCGGTATTTCCATAAAAATTTACAAATGCACGATAATAACAATAAACCTAAACATAGCACCCCAGGCAAAGCCCAGAAAGAACTCTGTACTGTTTTTCAATTGTCCCAGCAGCTTTAACAAAATTCCTAACAAAACAAATAGACATAATAAATGACAACAACGAATAGGGATATTGTCCTGAAGTAGAAAGAAGGTTCTTGTTACTGAATATGAATTATATATACTTAAAAGCATGCCAGAAGAAATTAGCTAATGAATTCAATGGATAGAGATATATATTTAAGAAAGGTCAGTTCATAATAATCTCATTAATGCTGAATATTATTGAAAATAGTTTACTGCAGACCTGTTTATGGAACTGAAAGTAACTTCTTACAGATAGAATGTAGTACGATCAGTACTACAGATACAGACAGTACAGACAGATTTTTCGTCTGTAATTACATCTACACAACAGGCTGGATCATCTAAGAAGCCATAAGCCTGGACATAGTGATGTGAAAGTTGCAGAGCTCCAAAAGTGTTTTCAGGATAAGCTGCAGAATTGAGAACTCCAGGCTTCTCACTTTGCTGTCTGTTTAACAGCCTGCCACAGAGCAGTTCTCAAGGCTTAACTGGATACTACAGCTCACAGCAAGACTGTCATGCAGTTAATAAGCTCCCGGGAAGCTGGAGAGCTGGAAAGCACATTTTATATAAAATGGGGACATTTTAGTGTTTTCCAAACAAATGCCGCCACCTGGTGTTCAGGCATATGGCTTGAATAGACCTTGAAGAAGGAAGTAAGCATGGAATGGACACAAGTAAGTCATCAGTGCCATGCCACATTCTGAGGGAATACAGTAAGGATTTAAGTGGACTAAGAAGAATAACAAAAGACTCCTGAAAGCAAGAACTTCATAGTCAGATTTTTCTGGGATTCTCTAATTTCATCTAGATCAAGTGTAGCAGCCTCTGACATCCTTGAATGGGATTATTAACAGCAACATTCATACTGATCAACTTTGTCAGAAAAGAACAAAATCACTCTTCACCACATGAACATTAAAGACCTGGTATCTCTAAAAGTTACTTCCTTATTTGATACAGATCAATATCCAGTGGAATCAGTGGTGACTGAAAGAGCAACAAGAGTTCTAAGAGTTAAAAAAAACAAGAGCTGATTTTATCAAGCTGGTGCTCTAGCCAGAGAAAACACTCCCCTTCTCTAGTTTTCCTCTTCCATTACAGCTAATCTTAGCCTAAAGTTCTTCATGGTCTACAACTAAACCACGACATGCAAGTGACAAAGAATAATCACTGGATACTGTTTATGTGTTTGGTTCTCATATATATATGTGTCATATCAAATGCACATCTATATAAACATTATATATAAACTTGAAGACCATCATTTACTGAGGGATCAACCTTCTCTTATCTTGCCAATTCAATTTTCCAGACTTCTATTTCCATGCGTATATTCAAATGTAAGCTTTCAATAAAAATTTTGGATAAAAATACTCTTTAATACTCTTAAATTTCATTGAAGTTGAATTTGATTTCTGGTTGCATCTAGTTGCATAATTTGGTAGAACAAAGAATGTAGCTCCCACATTTCTCATTGGGAAGTGTAGAATCATAGAATCATTTGGATTGGAAGGGACTTTTTAAAAGCTTGTTTAGTACAATTCTCCTACAATGCGCAGAGCCATCTTCAACCACATAAGACTGCTCAGAGCTCAGTACTACTTGGCCTTGAACATCCCTTGACCCAGGGATGGGGCATCCATCACCTACCTCTTTGCCCACACAGCAGGTAGGAAGTTTATGCTTAAATAATGCATAAAGAACAAGAATGTACATTAGATGAGCTAAATTCATACTGATACAAGTGAAGTGAAGAACATGCAGTAACACTAATAGCCTCAGTGCAGACAGTAACTTCCAATGATTTTTTACCAATATGTGTTTTATAAAACAATCCAAGCAGTGCTGAACATATGGTAGCATCTGTGAAAGATTTTGTTCCAAGTTTGTCTATTTAAGGCACGATCAAAAGGAAACAACACCCTGCTGCAGACATGGATTTATGAACTATCCTCACAACAGTAAAAGGCTGAAATGAAAAAACTAATTGAACTCATCCACCCACCTCCCCACCTCCAACCATATAATCAATTTCCCAACACTGAACTTTTTAACAAACAGTTTTTACCAGGGTCTTAAGGAACTCCAGCAGTTCTCCACGGTCTGTAGAAGAAGGTCTGAGAGAACTAAAATTGCAGCTATTTAGCCACTGAATGCAGTCAGTTGTGCTTTGTAGTACTTCATCAGTACATATTTCATTTATGTCTGATTGCAGGTCCTTAAGACACTCTTCTATACTAAAAAAAAAAAAAAAAAAAAAGAAAAAAATCACAGGATTTTTCTACATTATTTGGAGACAAAAGTATTTTATATATGCCATATTTTAAAAAGAAAAACTACTTTAAACTAAGGTAACTTTAATCCTCCTTATTCACAGATTAAGCAACCCTCAGAAAATAAGACCTGAATTTGCAGAATTAACAATTAACGTTTAAGTACTGTTGAACTAGAGCTAAAAAAACTTTCCTTCAGGCCAGACTGTACCATCCTCAGCCAGAGTATGTATGACTTCACTTTCAAACAATCTTATTCATTTTAATAAGGTAGTTAATGAACAAGACATTAGCCAACCTAATATCTGGTCCTTGGTGCTTAATTAGCTAAAGCAAAGACTATTAACTGAATCAATTACTGCATTCAAAGGTGAATGTGTCATTTTGCTCCTTTAGCAATCAGCAGTTGTTTTATAAAACATAAGATATACTAACAACTTCTAAAAGATCCACTGACATCACAGAATATGTTGAAAATAATTTCAGAGCCAGTTGTGCTGAGAAAGCAGATCTTTTCTTTCTTGTTTTGTCATTACAATATTAGAAAGAAAACAGACTTTGTTTTCAAGGAGTGGATCCACTCCTTAACATTCATCTAGAATCATAACTCTTTTTATGAAACCAGATGTGTCGGTTAGGTTTTTACAGTGATTTCATTTGCAAAGATCACAAGAACAATTGAACATCCAGAATTATTTTATTTCTACTTGCATGGACAACTTAAAAAAAAAACAAAACAAAACAAAACAAAACAAAAAAAATCCAAAACAATCTAACTCTATTTTCCTACAAAAACCTTTTTGGTATTTCATTTCTACTTTTCCTTTTTTTTTTTTTTTTTTTTCAAAAGCAATGCTTAATATTTTATACAGTTTCAGTTAGAAAAAAATAATTTAGATCCTGGCAAAACTGGGGTTAATAGCCCAGGCATTAATTCCAATCCTAAACTTGATGAAAGATTGGCAAGTATCTTTTTAGTTAGTGAAACCTGTTCTCAGGACTATGAAACTAAATGCCCTCTTCATATACCTTGACTCCTGGGACAGTATCAAAGGCTCTTATTGTGGTGTGCTGATATATCTCAAACATACCCAAATAGATTACAGCATTGTGCAATATAAAAGACACTAGTATTGTTAAATCTGTGCCAATGTACTACTATTATGAGTGAATTTTTACACTTATCTTTATTGACATATGAATCTGTGAGCAAGTTAACAAACTCCAAGCTTGAATAAGTTACAGCCTTCTCAAGATCAGACATTTTGGTAATCTCAGTACTGATAAGGGGATTAAAAGGATAGATTTCAGTGCCACTGCCCTGGTCCTTACCTCCCCCACAAGTATAAATCATGATAAGTATGTTCATCTTATTTAATCCTTTTATCCTCCCAAAATAAACATTTAATTAGGACTAAAGCTGTTTTTGATTGAATAAACGTATTTTCATCCTGTTTATTTACGGCATACAGAATACTGTAGGTAAACAGCATTTCAAAACCACCACTGCATCTTGCTAAGAATTTTGTCAACACTCAGTATACAAGAACATGGCTAGTTATAGTTACTTACTCCTTTACATGAATTACATTAATTAAATATTTAGGAATTTGGTTACTTTAAAAAAAAAAAAGTGTATTATATGAGTTTAGAAAGCAAGCATTTTAAGTAAAAAAATACTTCTATTAAATATGATTAAAATTATTCTCACCATCTAGGCTGGTATCAAAAACTTTATAATTTCATACCAGTGTAGATGGAATGAGTCTTTGATTTCCTGGTTTAGAAAAGATATTTCCTAAAGTTTAGGAAACTGCAAACAAAAATGTAATTTTGATGTGAAAAATATATTTAATGTATTCAATTTTCTTAAAAGTACAGTTTTTTAAAAGCCATATAAAGTGCTTGATTCCTTTTTTCCCAGTAATATTTTTTCATTAAGTGCAAATGTATTTTTTTTAAGTTCAGAGTAGCGAATTAATTCTTTCTTTGAACATACTGAGGCATTAACCCAGATGATGTCAACTGACATGATATACATACTATGGACATGCAAATTTAATGACCCAAATAAATTTTTGTCCACAGATGACTCAACCTTTTTTTTGAACCTGTGAAACTCTTCAGACACAAACAGAAAAAAACCAGTCACCAAACTACTAAAGAAGGAGTGGAATGTAAAAGCTCAAAGAAAAAACATAACCTTCACTGTAGCAAAGAAACCTAACAGTTATGCTTGTAATTTTTTTTTAATTGACTGATTTTTCAAGAAACAAATATTTAGTCCCACACAAGTAACACCTGAGCCTTTGTGGGCACATACTTTTTGTGGCTAGTACTCCTAGCATACCATTAAGCAGGTGAAAATGATGTGACTGAAATACCTTCTCCTTCTTACAGGTGAGAGTGCCTGCAATTCTTTAACAAACAAAAGCAAAGTCGTGTTGTATTATCTGTGTCCACATTGGAGTGCTTTTCTGGAGAAACATTTGGTAAGTACCCACACTGCAGAGAGACAATCTCAATGTAAAAACTCTTAGGTGCTCTTATTTATTAAGTTAATGATAGGTTTTACAAATAACCTAATCATCTGGAGAGAATGCTTTTTAAGTGGCTTTATCAATGGACAAACAGTACAAAAAGTACTGTAATGGAACTGATAGTGCAAGCACTATCATACTATCATACAAGGTCAACCCAACATTATTTTGAAACGTATGGTATCAGAATAAGGGTTGGCCTCTCCATATATCATTTTCCATTGCCTAAGATTACTGTGAGTAATTTGAATTATGATATTCTAACTCCTTTCAATTTCTAACAAGCACATTTCAATTTATTTCATCTAGCATAAGGAGCAGCCATAAAATGGCAATGACACTGGTTAAATTAAACTGCTAAGCTACAAAGTGAAATTATCTTTTAACCTCATATTCCTTATTCTTAAGATGCTCACATTCATGGAAACACAGCTTCAGAACCAGTTTACAGGTCTTTTATTCAGAACAGACTGTTTCAAAATAAATGAGATCATTGTTTTCACTGCTGTTAAAGATGCAAGGAGTGTTAGAAAACTGCTGTTATTACTCATTAAAAAGCTTGACTGCTAGAGGTATAGGACATTCATACAAAAAAAAAACCAAGTCTGATAATTTGGAAGTCTGTGTAGCACAGGACCTGCTGTGAGCAGTAAAAAAAATTTGCAGAGAGACTTTTAGCAGTGTAATTCACACAGACATTTTCATTGTTAAACTTTCTCTTGATCTTGAATCCAAAGATGTAAACCAAAGACACAGCACTTGGTGAAAGGACTTTGAAAACTATTGCATATCTCCAATTTAGTTCCTTACAAAACATACCCACTCGTAACTGTAAAGTAACTGTATCACTGAAACCAGAAGAAATAGAATGGTGATGGCTTTGCTACACTTTAGCAAGATAAAGTTACTCAACAGCTTAACCACATAAGAACAGTCACTTCCAACTGAACCACTGCCCACCCACCTTTAATTTCCATTCTTGTTTTAAAGGCTCGAGATATTTCTGTCACAAGATGCAAGCTTTTTCTTGGTAAGTTATTTCAGAAGACAGGCAGTGAAACATGAGTTTTTCAACTCCATTAACTAAAACATGACAGTGACAAATAAGGGTTCAAACCCCATCATCTCACAAATGCATGTATGAAATGAAATGGGATACTTTACAGGGCAGTCAAAGATTTGATTACAGCTTCTGCAGATGTAGATGACAGCTAATTAACCACCTAAGGTACTGACACAGTGATAATTACTGAATATTTGTATAAAGAAATCATGTGTCAATAAACAGCCAATTTCTGAGCAACTGTGCTGCCCAGCTAGCAAGTTGCTATTGAACAACTAACCCAGACTCAGTGATTACACACAAAGACAACACAGGAAAAAAAATACATTCCTTTCTCAGTTTGTTTACTTATTCCTAGCAATTGGTCCAGTAAAGTAATTACACTAGCCAACTACTATTCTGACAAAGTTTTTAATAACATCAAATTCCCAGGTAAACACTAAAGTAATGCATTTGTACAACGAGCCAGCTACACTCACCCAAAAGAGTAAAATTATTTTTCAAAGCTGTGATAAATATTAGGTCTGAGTAAAACTGATAAAATAATAATGTCTTTTCCTCTACAATCAGACCAAATTTTGAAATTCTCCCAAATACTCAACCACTCTTGGGATTTTGGTTGAAGAAGCCAAGATTTTGATAAATCTCTTGACTAACAGGAATATGAGGCAAAACTGCTTCCTGAAAATTCCTGAGCAAAGATTTTCTTCAAAATAAGAAAGATAACTCCTGCAGCACATCTCAGTTTAAAAACACATAAGCCCTTTTACACATCAGTTCTAATACAGGAAAATGGAATGAGATAGCTTGACTTAATATACTGTTTGAAACTCCTCCATCCCTTTGTTTTGATATTGGCAAGAATTTCTTGGCAAATCAGCAAAGTTACGATCAACAGCTGGACCATATGATACTAACATCCTTACTGAGACACCTTCCAGATCTACAATTCACAAGGTAAAGATCTTGTTAGTTCTCAAATAATTATCACAATTTATATCAAATGGTGATGGGAAAAGATGCAATGCTATAAGCGCTTACTAGCACTGACCTCATTGCAGCCCTTCAAAATAGACCTTCAAAATCCTTATGATTAAACTACTGTTAATTAGGTCAGGTTGAAGTTTGTCATGGTTTCACACTGGTCAACATGCCAGGCACCCATGAAAACCAGAACAAAGGGCTCATGAGTTGAGATAAGGATTGGGAGAAAACACTCTAAGGGCAAAACAGGATCAAACTTAAAGGCATAAAGTAAACTTGTTATTAACAGAGTCAGAAGAGGATAATGAGGAGTAAAATCAGATTTTAAAACACCTTTTCCATCCCCAGCCCATCTCTCCTTCCTACCGAGAGCACAGGGAGGCAGGGCATGTGGGTGTTTGGTCAGTTTGTCACTTGAAATACTTCTTGAAATACTTCAGTTTGCTTTTAGGGAGAGGAGTCTCTATGCTATGGGGTCCTTCGCATGGGAAACAGTTCTCTGTGAACTTCTCCAGTGTGACTCCAATTTCACAAGCAGCAGTCCTGCCCAACCTCCTGCTGTAACGTGAGTCCTTCCCACGGGCAAAACAATCTTCCCAAAACTGCTTTGGCATGAGTCACTAGTTCATGAGGTGTAGTTCTTTAAGGACAAGCTGCTCTAGTTTGGAAGCAAGGACCCTCTTTTCTCTGTCTCTGGAAACAAGGGCCCTCTCTGTCTTCATGTCTCCCATTGGATTACAGCTTTTTTTAGCATCCACCCACTCCAGCATGATCACTTTTCCCATAGGCTGCAACTGGATTTCTGCATCCCCCCATGGATTACATGGAGATAGTTTGTTTTATTACAGTCCTCCCCACAGCTTGCAGAGAAATATCAACTCCAGTGCTTGGAGCACCTCCTCTTCCTCTTTCCTTTCACTGATCTCAGCATCGCCATGTTGTCTGTTTCCACATGTCCTCACTTCCCCCTCTTTCTCTGACTGGGAAAAAAAAATGCTGCTCTTAAGTATCTTTGCCAACAAATTCTTCCTTTTTAAAGATATCTGCAGGATCTTGCAGCGCTGAGAAGTTGATTTTGTCTAGGTTCTGTGTGGGGGAATCACTTTCCATGTTTCCGCTGCCGGCACCATGCAGGTGGTGCAGCTGCCGTGGTGCTGGGACCATTCAGTGCCACTCTTCATGTGGGACACTGGGGAGGAGAAGCTGCTGTCGCTGCCCCTGCCCTTCTGCCTGCAGCACGGCTGGTAGGAGTAACCAGGCAAGCAGAGCTTGCCACAGGTTGTGCTGAAATGGTGGCGGCCACGGCGGCAGCCACATGGCTGCACCTGCAGCGCCCAGACAGTCCCGGCGGTGGTGCCTCGCCACCCCTGAGGAAAAGCTGCTCCTGTGCAGATTTTCTTCTTAAATGTGTCACCACACAGGCATTGACAACTTCTCTAATTGGGCCAGCAGCATATCCATCTTCAGAGCCATAAAAGACTGGGTCTGTTGGACATTGTGGAAGCTTCTAGAAGCTTCTCACAGAAAGCACCTCTGTGGCTCTCCCGCCCGCCCCAAAAAAACCAGGCTGTGTTAAACCAACACAAAGTTTATCAGATTGCAGTCAGATCAGGCTTTTGTGAAAAGCCTCACAAATTTAGAGTCTCCAGGATGCTGCAGAGATAAAACATTATGAAATAATTGTGTTGAATTCTAAGCAATTGTTCTGTTGATGAAGACATAGAATATCTCCTACTGTCCTACAGTCTCATAAAATCTTGTTCCTTTATCACAACTAAAAGGCAGCACTCACTGAAGAAAAAACTGAATACAGACATAAAAATCAAGTGTTGAAGAAACCTCATGCTTAGCAATCACTTCGAGTTATGAACTATAGGCATGGTTTCAAGCTCTGTACTGTATTTCCTGCTTAGAAGTATTAAATATAAGCTGCAAGTTTGGTTCTGGGAATTGCTAACAAGTGAAATGCTAGTAATTCTTAAAAAACCAATTCGGAAAAATAATCCAAATACTCAGTTTTGATGAGCAGTAAAAGTCAAAGTAACTGTGAAAGGAAAGAATGAAGACAAAAGGCCAATCTGATGAATACAAGTTCACACTTGAGAATAACCTTGAGACTACCCTTGTACTCAAAACTGGCCAGCAGTGATGATCGTTTTGAGAGTTCATATTCACCTGCTTCTATAAACTCCTCTAAAAATAAACTTAACATTCAAGTGTAATAAGAGTTCCAGTACATAACAGTGAATGTATGAACCACTTACTATATTAAAATTTGCATATAACACAATTGCACACAGATGGCTTTTTTTGTTGTTGTTACAGCAAATAAAATTGGTACAGTACAAAAATACTGAAGGCAATTCAACAAAAACCATATCTGATTTGTCATGTCACACAATTTTATAAAACCTATTCAGTTAGAAGGCAATAAATGAGCAGTCAAATGATTTATACACTCTTGCCTCATAATTTTTTACACAATGTTTTATTTTTAAATATATATATATGAATGTATACTACTATGTTCATTCTCCGTGGTCCAATAAAAGCATAAATCTATCTGATGAAAAATGGATTGTATTTCAATTGTATCACTGTATCACATAGAGTTGCTCTTATCATACCACTTAAAAAGATCAATGGTAACTTGAAAATTATTTCATTCCATGCCACCTCTAATATATTAGGAATAAAAGGACTCTTTTTAATTTAAAAGTTGCATCAGCTGCTGTCCATCTTATTTTAAATTCTTTCAATTTCTGAAACTGACACAGTACAGGAGCAAAATAGCACCTGGTAACTACAGAGCTACTTCCTGTCTTTCCTTGTGAAAATAAGGTTAAAGCTAGCTTAGGTGTCAATTCAGCAGAAATTTTTCCTGACCTGCATTGCTCCTAATCCAAATTCCAGCTCTCCTTTAATAAAATATACAGTAAAAAAAACTTACAGTAAAATTTCCTTCTAATTTGTAAGACTAGATAGGTAAAACAGTGACAATCAGCCTCTTTCAAGACATACAAACACTTCCACTGTGATGATGCTAATGTAAAATGTAACATAAAATGCTAAGTGGCTATAAAGTACCACTTAAAAGAATGAACAGCTGGCTTCCCTTCCTATAGTCAGATGTTTTCTCAACAAGCAACATGCATATTTCACACATTAAAACAAGAAACAGTAGTGAAGCATTCCTTCTAAAGGTTCATTTTGAGAATAATCTTCCTAACTCTCAGGATATCTCTGAAGAATGACAACAAAATCACTTTTATTTGGTAGTTGAAGAGGTGACAACAGTTATGCTAAAAATGCTGATGCTGTTTTTTCCAGTTATACAATGCCATAGACACATGAAACTTAATTACCTGTGTAATTAATTATGTTACGACATAAACTAATCTCTAAGTATCTACATTTTGCTCATGTCAACAGCTGGAAAACTCTAACATGAAATTGTATTATGCAGTGGTCCACAACAGCATATTTACCAGATCTTCACTACCATTGCTACCGTGGGATTATTAATATTGCAAATACTTTAATAAACACTAAGTTTTTATATGAAAATGGGAGGTAAGACTAATAGAAATATCCCCCCCAAAAAAACTCTTAGCCCAGCATAACCTTGACAATAACTGAGAAATTATCTAAGTCAGTTTTCAGCGAGGTATGGCAATGGTTTATTTCCATCCTTCCAGAGGCTGTTTGGGAGCAAAGACCGCTGACAAAAGTAGGCTATATTAAAATGATACAATCTTAAAACAGATGTCATGACGGATGTTCTTTGAAATCCTACTTTAAGATGCACTGTTCATACTTGAAGATGCTCACAAAGGTGAGCATTTTCAAAATTTAATATAAAATCCTGCCATATCTCTGACTGTACACTTCTTTTTTTAAATCTACAAAAATTTTATTTGCTTAAGAGCATCTTTTGCTGATGAAAGTATTACAAAGATACGAAAGAGTTAAGCCACAAATAAGGCACAGAACCCTGAGCTGATTATTTTGTATTGATGCAAAAAAATGTGCATCAACAACAAACTTTTTTAGTACTCCACTCTTTCTGTAACACTGATTTTTGGAAATCAGTGTGTTACGAGGAAGCGGACAAAGAAATATATTATAAATTGTAGAAAGAAAATGTGTAATTGCAGCACAAGAGTTTTAACTGAAATTGTAAAACAATGGATCATATAAGAAAAAAATATACATATATTAACTGAATTAATTTTTCTACTTTCATTAGAAATGCTTAAACAACATGCAACATTTGGTTTTTGTCAAATTCTGTAGTTCTTTTAGTCAATAAAAATTTATCTCATTAGTAGGAAATTTTATCTCATAGTAATAGAAAATACAGCTGTCATGGGAATTCACATTTTCTTCCTTCACTATCACACCTACTTCAACAGAACCTAAGGTTAACATGATACAATTGTTAAAAATACCATAGAAAGAAAGACTATAGCACAATAATTATACAGCATTAAAATTTTGTTAAATGCTTGAGTGGTTAAAATAAAATTACTGCTGAAATATTTATCAGAATTTTAACATACTACTAGAAAAGAAAGGTAAGTTAAACTACATTTCTTCCCAAATGCAATGCCTTTCTCTAGTATTTTGCATACAAATAAAATACTCTTTACCTGTAAGAGTTCTTCTTTATTTTTTCATCAAGATCACTAAGGATTTGTCGGAATTCCAATTCTCCAGGGAGAACATTTAACAAACAGTCTAAATTGGAAGAATCAAAAGAATACTCTCCTCCCCATTCCATTTTTAGAATCTGTAAAACAAATACAGCAAAATGGTTAAAAAATGGAAAGATGTTGACTAGAAGTACCAAAGTACACAATATATTGTTCTTTGGAGATATTAGATTATATAATAATATAAATATTAGACTATTATGCTTCTGCATAGACTGCTACAGAGGGAAACCAGGAACACGAGTGTTGAGATAAGTTTCATAGTATCTTGCATTTCTTTAGTTTAAAGAATGCAGTTCTTTTACCTTAACCACAGCAGTAGCTGTTTTTTTTTAAGATTTAGAAAGAAAATTCTCGCTATGGAATGGAAACTAAAAATAAACATATTACAGGGTCAACTTATTTTCTGTATACTTATAATTTCTGCCCAAGGAGTAACTGTTTTCTGGAAATTCAGCACATCATTGCAAATACATGCAAACAACAAACCAGACTAAACCAAGCTTCGTCTTGCTATGTACTCATTTTACTAAACACAGGTCAAATCCAACAGCCTATTCAAACTAATACAGTACCTTTGTGTCTTTATATCAGAACCAAAGCATTAGCATGGTTTTTTTTTTCCTGTTTTCTATTTTTTCTGCATACTCTTGTGGAGAAATAATGAAATTTATTTTAACATCAGTGATGACTTACTACCAAAATTAAGGCAGAACATGATAAAAACTGGAACCTTCTTAATAATCAGTATATCTCATGTCTGCTATTTAGTATGTCATATTTAATACTATCCATATTGCAGCAACAACATGAGAAACAAACATAATATTCATATTGTTAGGGCCTTAACCTGCCAATTGCTGGACGCTCTCCTCAGAATTTCTGGGTTGATAGACAGTGCCCAGCAGGGGTCAAGGGTGGGGAAAAGGAAAGGTGATTGACACCCCCCCGGGGAAGGAAATTTCAGGGAGAAACCAGGGGAAACTGAGGCAAGTCATGACATCACACCGCAACATCATATGCACACAGTTTGGCAGCAAAATATAATAAACACATTATTTTTCCGGCAAGCAATATTCTTTTACAAAGCAGCTACAGTATTGGTTGTTATCTAGAGGCACTACAAAAATAGACTGAATTTTTCTAAGTGAACTGTCTGCAAAACATATGTTTAAAAAGAACATCAGATATTTAATATGCAAGGTCAAGATGATTGGTTTTGGTCATATGTGTAGACTTAAAAGTAGCAAAAAGGCACATTTCTGGTTTTGGTCTTCCAAAGAAACATTCAAAAAAACATGGAAGTTGTCTAAAGCATAATGTCTTGCACATCTCAATTAACATCACACCAATATTAAATATTTAATGGATAAAGTGTTTTCTTAAATTCTCAGAAGCTACAGAATACCTCTTTGCAAATAACAATTCAAACGCAACATTTTGGGATGTAGCTGAAACTCAACCACTTGCTGGTGGAAAAGCCTGGATGTAAATCAAATACATCTTTTAAAGCATTAAGGAAATGTCACTCTTTTAATATAAGCTTAACAGATGTTATTACAATTAAAAACACTAATTAAAAGTTAAATGAAAACCATTAAACAGCACTTTGCAGAACTGAGATAAAAGGAATACTGAAAAAACAGCTCTTTCTTCAAGTATGATACTACTTACAATAGACTCGGTCATGCACATCCTTTTCTCTTATAAAGGTTTACACAGAATGTAATTTTAACTCCATTCAATACCTATAACTCAAACCCATCTTTTATTCAACTGTCTTGTAGAACAATGATTGGTGTAAAATGAACTGTATAACAGATAGATTAATAGATAGATAGATAGATAGATAGATAGATAGATAGATAGATAGACAGACAGATAGATATACTGCAAAAATACTAACAGTTTGGAATGAGTTAAAGTTTTCATGAAATAGCTGCACAACCAAAATTATGTATTTGTACTTAACCCTAACTCTCTAAAGCCAAAAGAAGCTTATGCTCCTTGGAAAAAATATCAGTATACTTTACAGACTACTAACTGTTTGAAAAATTCATCAAATGAAAAAAAAATCACCTTGTAAACATGACAGCCTAGTTTTCATGCATGCATTCCTGAAGACTTCTATGTCATACTTCATTGGTTCACTTGTCAAAACAAAGCAATTATTCCTTTCAGTCTTGGTTTATGGAAGAAAAGCAACACTTGATTATTCAGTTTTTAAATATTATTTTATGGCTTATACTAATTTCTTCTTCTGAAAATCTAAACCCAAAAATGTTTCAAAAGGAAAAAATAAGAGCATCAAGACATAAATTAGCAAAATTGAGAAGAAATTTTACTGTTATTTAGCATAACCAGAGCCAGGGCCTTCAGTGCACCAAAAGACTCTAACTGATGATCTGACTCTAAGCAGAACTACACCACCAGCATGCTGGTTGCCCTCCTTGTCTCCCCTGGGGGCAGCAGGATGGGCATCAGCTAGCAAGGACCCTCCCCTGCCATTTGGGATTTTCCCTGCCTCTCCTGTTAATCCAAAGAGCAGACAGTTGCTGATGCCCTCAAAGACCTAGTGACAGCCCTCCTCTGATGGCAAAACCCTCAATGCTTGTTTTTTAAGAAAGAAATCCATTTCTTTCTTAAAAGATAAATGGGGGAAGAACTTAGTTTGGAAAATCTGAATTCTGTCAAAGTATTTCAGACATTAATAATTCTCTTTTTTTTTTGTAAAGGAGATTAATTTAAGCTTTGTTTTTAAGCAGCATAGAAATATCATTCTATCGTATTTCAATTTACTATTATGATGAACTATTGTATGTTTTAAGACAAATGGTCTTAGAGAACTTGTTTCAAGTACACTCTCTACATCACTATCTTAATAGACCTACTTATTTTCAAAACATATTAGAGGACTGGCCATCAACATTAAAATGACACAGCTGTAAATCTTTTCAATAGCTACTCAAGAAACTTAAACAATGTACAGTTTAGCTTAAAAAGAAATATTTTCCAAGTCTCTTATTTTAAGCCACAGTATCAATGACATTTAACATCACTGTAATAATTTCCCACTTCTAACAAGTGTAAATTATGAAACTTTTTTACCAAAAATCATTAGGCCTATTTAAAAAAAAAAAAAAACTACACAACACTCAAGTTAATACAACAGATAATTCTTGCTTTTAAAGCTTACAGAGTTTACCATTGAAAAGCACTTTTTGTGTGTGTGTGTTTTCTTTTTCAGTGTCAATAAAATGGAAGAAATCTCCTATAAAAATTATATTTGGTTCAAACTGGGTATTTTTTCATTCTGTTTAAACAATTAAATTAAACATAATTGTAAAAGCCTTCCAGTACAAACATACATGTGAAATTCCACGGTCAATCTGTAATGTTTATATTTACTATAATAAGCCTTTGCTCTCAGACATACAGTTTGTAAAAGCGGCACTTAGCTAAATCTTGAACAGAATTTTTTGAGCACATCTGTTGCATACGCACCTATCAATGTACTCATAACTTGGAAAAAGGGATATGTTAAACTGCTGCACTGAAAGTATAGAGAATTGCCAAATCTTTGAAGCTTTTTTTCTGTTACTGCTTCTTATCTTACAGGAGGTATCTCTTTATTGCCCTAACATCCTTGCAAAACTAAAAGGGAATGAGAGAATTGACAAGATTTTTCATCACTCAGCTTATGCTTTCAATGAGACCTTAACAATTATTTCCTTTATCTAGCTTTAGTTGCATAACTGTTTCCAGCCACTTTATAGCACAGAAGATGTCATCTGCAATCACACAGCAGGCAGCAAGAGTGATGGCAGTGGCCTGAGATACTACAATTCAATGTGAAATTCCTATTGCTCTGTACATTTAAATAGTCTGAATATTTATAATTATTTTGAAAACCACATAGATCATACAAAATAAATCAATTTAAAACCTGCAATTTCTTGAGCTTTACTCTGACATGGTAAAAGCTTTTTACCCAATCTTCTGTGGCAAAAATCCTTTAAAATTGTTTACTGTTTAGAATAGACTTGTAAAAGAAAAGGAAAATTTAAAATTCTCTCTATAAAAGAACATGACTCATTTCTGTTCCTGCTCATATGTATTGAAGATTTCTATTTAAATTTTCCAAATTGCCTTTCACCTATTTTGCACACTTTGCTGAAGCACACACAACATTTACAAAAAGAATAGCCTATTGTTCCAGTAAAAAAAGACATTTAATGCAAAAAAAAAAAACCAAAAAAAAAAACCTCAACAAAACAGAGCAACCAGTCTTCATTATGGTTTTATTTACTACATATTTTGAATGCCACAAATAACTTTGAAACAAGTTTACTAAAAACATCTTGAAATATTCCCCCTGCGAAGTTTCCACATTGCCTCTTTTCATAAACTTACACTTAAAAGTTAATTTTATATTTGTAAATTATTATCCACCACACACTTTGCCTTTATAATTTTTAAAGATGAATTTTAAGTATCTATAATTAAATACTCATTTTTAACCCTTTTGAATACAGTTTTCTTCCAAATTCTACCATAAGAGTCACCAAATAAGAGAATGGGAATAAAATATAACTAAAGAAACAAAGTCCTCACTGTGGATGCAAGAGAAAGCTATGCCTTCCACCTAAAGCTGTAATATCAAAATGCAGTGCTGTGATTAAGGCAGCTATATCAGAACTTAAATCATAACATTGTCAAAAAGGACTGTGAAAATGCACATTTCTGACAAGTAGCATATGCTACTATTTTTAATATCTGTAGTTGTTTCAAACTATGTAGCTTAGGCCTGTATTGTAGGCATATGTACATGCCAGAATTTATAACTAAAATCCGTGAGTTCTCCCTATTGTCTCTCCCCGATTCTTCGAGCCACAGAAAGTAAAATGCTGAGGATAGAAAGGAATCAGCACTGCTTTTTAAGATTTCCTGCTACTTGGGACTGGTAAAAAATGTTCAAAGACACTGAAAGAGTTCTCATTTACATAAACTTAATCAAACACTATTGGTGTGACACTATTGTAAAGGCAGTGACTTCAAAAGAGGAACATGCCATCTGGAGTTACAAGAAAACTCCCGAGTAGTTATGTCAGAAGAAAGGAATAAAGGATAATGTGATTTCCTAAACTTCAGTAAAGAAGAAATGGCTACTTTCTGAGTAGCTCTTGAGACAAACAGTTCTATACAATCTTGAGCACTCAGCTGGTTATCCTGCAGCTGGAATCCCACAGTGTGTGATCTAAGGTTCAACATTTATAAACAAGCAACCCTTACACAAGAAGCCCACAAGCATTAAGAATCCTACCTCTAAATCCAGTGGCTTTCCCCAGCTCCTTATTAGTCTATATAGTTACTAAAACCGTAAGTGTGACAACACAGATGTGTGTCTGTATACAAGTGCAACTATTTTGTCTTCCTTTTCTGGTTTTCAAAATTCCAGATACTGCTTCTCAGCCCATTTTGCTTTTTTTTTTTTTCCCCTTGGTGCCTGAGCTCCTATTTTTTTTTTCATAAATTTGGGATTTTTTTAAAAAAAATATAAATCTGGCGCAATATTGTCTTCTTTTTATGCAGTATAAGGCCTTACAAAAAGTAATTTACTAATCAACTTTTCTGCCAATGCCACATACAAACACAGGACAAAATTACTGTGACACTGTCACCAATTGAGACTACATTGATCAATCTCATTGTCAAATTATTATACTTTATAAATGATGGATACTTTAAAATAATTTTCAGTTAAAACAATAATTACCAATCAGTAGACTAAAGTAACCATCAATGCATAGAAAAGAGATTCTTAGAAGCCTAACTGGAAATATCTACTCAATATTTTCTTATAATCTTCTTAGCTAAAAAACTGCAACTAAATAGAACAATTTCAAAACAGACTATAGTACCTAATTTATTTTGTACTGCTCTAGATGAGGTTTAAAAGGATTGAGTAAATTTTGCATACAGGTATGAGAAAATGTCTAAGACCAATAATTACTTTCCCCAGAAAGACTAAATGGCATTGGTTTTTTTTCCTGAAGAACAAGAACATAAGTCTCGTATATGAGACTAATGGTGCATCCTCTGCAGAATTGTCTATCTAATTGTGGCAATAAGAACTGCTATTTAGGTACAATAAAATTTGAGTTTTTTCATTTTGTGGCACTTACAAACTGAGAAAGAAGAGGTAATACTTTATAAAATCCCCCCCAAATCCCTCACAGAAACATGCTTTGAGAAGCATCTGCTATGGCATTCCTACCTTGCTCATCATTAGTGTCTAAAACTGCACAGATTTATAAGGACTGTTCTGAAAGAACTTATCTTTAAGCACAGTGGTAAAGAACCAAAAGTATACTATTTTCAACTAAAAACCTTACAAATACCTACTAGCTACTTCTAAAAGCAGTTTCTTTTCTTGTTTATTGGAAAAATCCTCCATTGTAACACAATACACTTTAAGGACAATGGTATTTAAAAGATAGAAATTTTAAGACCTTTCAGGTCTTGTCATTCAGTAGATCAGACACAGAGTTGCTGGAATCTTAACAGGAAATAGCTTTCCAATGAAACTATTATATTTTGAAAGAATTACAAAAATAGCCCGTGACCACAGCTTTTAAAAGGTAGGCTGCATTTCAGGTCCTTCATTGCCACACACTCTATTTTCTTTCATTACTACTCAATTTAAAACTGAGAGCATGAAAGATGCCCATTTTATAAAAATGAAATACAGAAGCTCTCCACAGAGATGCCTCTTAAATTGGCCCAAGTTTATAGTCACATTCTTAAAAGTTTGTTTCGTAGTATAAATGTAATGGATTTTGGGTTTTCTCCCAAATACTATTATTACTGCTACTGTAGTAGTACTATACAGGGTCATGTGAAACATTTTATTAGCCAGGAGATTTCCTTTTTTTCTTTTTCATCTTTTTTAAAATGAAATCATTACTTTTTTCTGCTGCCATTACTCATCTTGTAAAGCTTGATGTGACAGTGCCTAATGTACAATGCGCCACTCAGATTCTACAGCAAAACGCAGGCTCATATTCCTACTCAGCTATGTTTTTCACCTTCAAAAGCACTGCTAAGCATCTGTTTGCCTCTCCTTAAGAAAAAGACACCTCATAAGTAAAATAATTACAAACTAACTATTTTTACCATGTTGTTGTGATTTAGGAATCATTACTGAAAACACTCCAAAGCATACAGATTCGCTCACTCCCTCTTTCTCCTCCCCTACTTCCTGAGGCAGGAGGGAGAGAAAAATTGTAAAAGGTAAAGATTGTAGGTTGAGAAAAGGACAATTTACTGGAAACAGCAACAAGATCAGAAATGTAACAGGAACAATGTTACCTGAAATACACAAAAGTTGTACAAGAAAGGCAATTGATTCATACAGGGAAAAGCCCACCACACAGAAACCCGCCCTGAGCAAACATCCGCCACATTCCCAACAGCCAGAAGGAACGCACTTCCCTTGCCCCCGGTGATGATGTGAGGTGGTAGAGAATAACCTCCAGGTGCTAGCCATGACCCATCCTGGCCGCTGCTAAAAATAACTGTCCTGAAAAGAACCAGCATATTATCTACCCCTTATTATACACCATATAATTTATGCCCAAATCCTACACCTTCCATGAATACACATATAGTACATATACACAAACAGTTATAATTTCCATCAATGGCCTTCCCTCCAAGATATCTGTAGAGTTCATTGAGTCCATGTGGGTTCTCTGTCCTAGATGTCTTCCAGAGCAGGAGGGCTGGGGTGCTGCCAGGTGGTTGCAAGCTGCATCACGAGCTCATGAGCCGTGTGTCTGGAGCAGTCCATACTCACTGGCATTAGGCTATGGCATTCAGCTACTAACATTATACAACGAAACATTACAGACTGCTCTCACCTAAAAATCAAATTCCCTTCAGTTACACATCACATTTCCCCATCCAGCTGCATTAAATACCAAGTGCACCAAGGTCATTGAGCAAAAACAGTCCCACGGACAGGTTTGTCTTAGCTTAAAGCTGGACTAATCCAAACTGTCTCCCCTAACACATTCCTAATGTGCTCCACAGTAACTTTATCCCCCTCTTTGGTATGAGATTTGATTGGGTAGGGCCAGGGCCAGGTCAATTCATGGAGCCCCCCTCTAGCATTAACCAAACAAGTGGGCTTTGCTAAGTGCAGACCTCAATGTATGAAGGACTACCAGCCATTGCTTTCAATGTGGTTTTAACAGTCCATTGTAGCTCCCTGACTGGAAATAATTCACTCTTATGCTGCCAGCCCAGGTCCACCAGAGACTTTTTAATCTCAATAACCCAATTCACCTGTTCATTGTTGTGATGTTTTCCAGTAACTCAACTCCTGGGCACATGTGCATCTACATGATGTACTTTTACAGCCAAGTCCTCCACCTGGGCAGTGAGATCTTGCCACAATTCAGCAGCCCAGATTTACTTCTGTGCTGCCAATTGGTCTTTTCCCATTGGTTTAGCCATCCCCAGAGAGCATTTGCTGCCATCCACAAGTCAGTGTAGAGGTAAAGCACTGGCCATTTCTCTCATTCAGCGATATCTACACACTATTCCACTGCAGTCCAGATAAGACCAAGGCAGATAGTGGGGCTATGTTTCCAGCCCTCGGGCAATTGACTGCAGGTATACTAGATACCCTCCAGGTGAAAGCAAAGTGTTGTGGGGAGTCTGCTGCTAAAGGAAGGGAGAAAAACACATTAGCAATATTAATGATGGCAGCACTTTGCTGCCTTGGATTCCAGTTCATACTGAAGTTCCAGTATATACAGCATAGCAGCGCTCAGAGCGGGTAGGACTTCCTTCAGACCACAATTCTGTCAGTCTCCACTCTCCACTGGAGTTATGCACTGGCCATATGGCTCTATGCACTCTCACTGGCTCTAAATGGTGAGAGACTCGCTGATTGCTCCTTGGTGCTTCAATTAATGAATCATCTCATGGATCGAGGTCATAGAGTCCCGGCTGGTGTGATATTGCCAACATTGCACTGTTGTGGTAGTGACCATTACCTGTTTTTCTTCAAACCTCAGCAGTCCCACAGCAGAAGGGTCCTCTGAAAGATCAGGCAAGGTATTCAGCTACTTAATGTCCTCTGACTCCACAGCAGTGCCATTGATTGACACTGACTGGATGCCAGGCACCCACCAAAGCCTCTTTTGGCACTCCCCTTTGCAGCTGGACATGGGACAGAAAACATAACAAAGGGTTCATCAGTCAAGGACCAGAGGAGATCATTCGCCAAACACTATAATGGGCAAAACAGGCTCAAATTAGAGATATTAATTTAATTTATTATTCACAAAATCAGAGCAGGATACTGAGAAGTAGAGTAAGATCTTAAAGAACACCTTTCCTGCATGCCTACCTCCACCCCAGCTGTGCCCCACAGTGGCTCACAGGGAGACAAGGAATGGTGGTTATGGTCAGCTCATTACACATTGTTTCTCCCTCTGCTCAGGGATAGGAGTCCTTCCACTATTTCCACAGGCAGTCCCTTCCACAGGACACACTTTTCCACAAACTTCTCAGAAGTGAGTCTATCCCATGGGCAGCAGTCCTCCCCAAACTGCTGCAATGTGGGTCACTCTTGCACTGGACTCAGTTCCTTCAAGGACAGGCTGCTCCAGAATGGGTCCCCCATGGGGTCAAAAGTCCTGCCAGGAAACCTGCTCCAGCATGGGCTCCTTTGTTCATGGGTCAGATACCCTGCTCCAGCACAGGCCTCCCCCAGGGTAACAGCCTCTTTTAGGCATCCACCTGCTCCAGTGTGAGTCTACTCCAGGGGCTGCAGATGGATCTCTGCACCCCCATGGATCTCCAAGGGCTGAAGGGGTACAGCTACTTCATCGTGGTGTTCACCATGGGCTGCTGCTCACCTCAGGCACCTGGAGTACCTCCTCTCTCCTTCTTCACTGATCTTGGTGCCTGCAGAGTTGGTCCTCTCATATTACACTCTTCACTGGCTGTTAATAAAAGCTGTGCAATACTTTTCTTTCTTTTCTTCTCCTCTTCCTTCTCCTTCTTCCTCTTCTTCTTCAATATGTTATCACTGAAGCACTACCACCATCCCTACCCGGCCCAGCCCTGGCCAGCAGCACATTCATATTTGGATCTGCCAAAGATCAACTCAGCCAGATGCTAAGGAAGCTTCTAGCAGCTTCTCACAGAACCCATCCCCTATAGCCCCCACTTCCAAAACCAGGTCACGGAACCAGGTACAATCAGCTATCCCAAAAATCCAATTATGCCCTTTTGGATCCTTGAAATACCTTCTTCCTGAGGTAAACTATGCCCAAGAAGCACAGGGCCTCTGGGCCAGTCACAATGGAGTGTGTTTGCCATTCGTTCCCAGCCAGAATCACTTCAGCTTCCAGTACAGTCAGCTGTCCAGTTTCCCCTGTCACCTCAGAAACAGAGATGCATTCTTCCCCTACATATCTCGATGGCATCAGGGTACACTGAATACCTGAGTCAACTAAAGACTTAGGTTCTTGTGGGTCTGATGAACCAAGCCATTAGATCCACACAGACCAATAGATTTGACTGTCCCTTTCCCCCACCTGGCTGGAGGCAGAGCCTCTTTAGTTCTGGTAATGGTATTCATTAATATTTCTTGTAAATATGAACTGGACATCCTTTCAGGATTGGAAGCAACATCAGCCCTTCTATTCTGTCTGAGGACTCACCCTCTGGAAACTGGAGCTGCATTTATGAAGGGTTTCCTCTGATGTTTGTTCTTTCTCTCAACACACGTACCTGTGCTGCCAGCGCAGAGCTGGTTTTCCATCCCACTTCCTCATATCCTCTCTGGGGTCACACAGCAAAAAACACAGGTTACCTTGTGGTTTGTACCCTCTCTCTTGAGCAGACGGGTACTTGTTCCAAATAGTCCAGACTCTGGTCCACAGTGGAGGGGAATGGGACGTTTCCTCTCTAATTTGCTGAAGTCTTTTGAGTCTGTGTGCAGTCTTGGACAGTCTTTCCACAGGCAAGGTGCAGGTCAGTAGGGAGGAAAAAAGATGGTCACCCCATGGCTGTAGCTAGATACTCACCTAAAGCAGTTTGTTCTCCTCCTATCACGGACATCAATGCCAATAGCTGGTGTACAATGATCATGTGCTCCATCCAAACTTCTGCCATGTGGATTGTGCACACTGGACCTCATCTGGATCTACAGGGGACTGCACATTAGTTGAATCCCTAGAGATTACCTCCAGAACACTCATTCTCCCAGGTACTGGATACCTTTCTCCATGGTGTCCCACCTGCCTGGGTGCACTACTAGATCACCCTTGAGAGAGTACCTTCCTTTCATGTTTGACAGGTGTCACCTCCAAAGGCTGAGAGCTTCTGTTCCCTTCCCAATGCCCTTGTCAGTGCCCAGATCCTGGGACAGGGATTCCAGCTGCTCAGCCTTATTAACATCTAGTTTCATATCATGGGCCATGATATGGCAGCATTGGAGCAGCCAGGGCAGACTGGCAGCTGAAATCTTCTTGCACAGCCTGCAGCCCACCTGGGGACAGGGATCAGTGATTATCTCTGGACCTGCCTTTTCCTCCTGTTCTATTGGCATGGGCTGTTCCTGCAGTTCAGCTGCAGTTTGAGTGGTCACAGTGGCTGTTGGTCTGATTTCCTCCTCTTACCCCTGAGGTGTCTACTATCAAGCAACAGTCAAGAAATAGGAGCCAAAGCCCAGCACGGTGCATAACTTCTTGCCTCTCTGTGACTGCTACAGCATTTTTCTTTCAAATATTCTGCTTCTTCATCAGGGTCCTGCAGCTGTTCAGAAGCACCCTTAATGCAGATGACCTTCTTAAAAATCTCCTTCTTGACTAAACATGGTGAAAATCACAGAGAGGATACCTGGCAGATATAGCAGCATGAATGTGCTTTCCTTAACATCCAAAGGGAAGTCAAAATTCTCAAAAGCTGTTGTAACAGATATGAAGAAGTAAAAGGGAGTATAAAAGTGGGGAAAATCATCCTTCCCTGATGTCACACACTACAGCAAAAAAGCCATCCAGATCCTCTTCTCTGCTCTGAAAAAAGAGCACTGCGGTGGACACACAGTGCACACATGGACGTATATACAGAGTTATATACCCTGTATACCCACATGAACAGATCACAGCATGAGCAGTGGTTCTGTACCTAATAAAATAAATGCTTACACCAAATTTGTTTCAAACCCACTCTAGTCAGATATACTGTTATCTGAACCATTCGACCCTGTGCTGGACACCAAATGAGGTTGCTGTGGTTTGGAATGGTGTCCCCTAAATTAGTGCTCCCACTGAATCACTTCAAACCAAGCATCATCCACTCACTTACCCCTCCCCCTGCCATGAGATGGGGAGGAGTACTGGAAGCACAAAAGGTTAAGGAGTGAGGTAAAGATTATGGGTTGAGGTAAGAACAATATACTGGAAACAGCAATGAAGTAAGAAAGTAAAAGTATTGACATCAATATTAATAACAGGGTGTACAAGAAATGATTGACGGCAAAAAAGTTCATCACATAGCAATCTGCCATACATGAACTACACCCACACTATCCTCAACTGGAAGAGATGCCCTTTCCCTGCCCATGGCAATGATGCAAGGTGCTAGAGAAAAACCACTTGGCTACTGCAAAAATTACCCCTGTCCTGTCTGTAACCAGGACATAAGTACAGCAGCGTATATATACATGGAGTACACACAACCTAAAATGTGTCAGGCATTTTCAAGCTTGCAAGGCAAGTTATTGTTTGAATTGCTTGCTTGCTTACCCTATACGCCACATCCAGGAGTTGCTTCCTAGTCAGCCTCTCACCCAAACCTTCAAAGCATGCAACAGATCAATTCAGACTTATCTTAAGGACTGAACTCATAAGAAACCTTCAATGCTCTCACTCAAAGTAAAACAGTAAATTAATGATGAAGCTCAGAAAAGACAAACTATTTCGGTTGTGAATATTTGATTACATTGAAAATGTAAGAGGATAGCAAAATTGACTAAATAATCTTAAAGGCATCTGTATCACTTCCTTTCAGAAAAAAAGCATAAGTGACATACCACCTACAATAACACCTTTCTCCTCAGTGTTGACAGCCTCTTCTTCACAGCAAAATTGTGAAATGAAGTTAAATTTAAAAAGTTTCCTACTGTTTTTTATACCAAACTCTTTCTATGTAATTATTTATTTGCCTTCTCAACTTCTCTTCTTGTACTTGACTTCTTTTATATTCCCACTTTTCAGTCAACTTTCCAAAGAAAAGGAGGCTTACACAACCATTGTTTGGGTTTCTTCTCCAAATTGCCTCAGGCATACCCTCTTCCCAATGCAAACAAGTTTTACAAAGGGGTGAAAAACTCAAAACTAAATTGTTAAAGGTGTCAGGAAAATAGTTGCATAAATGGAAAAGAAAATCCCTGCAACTGACTCTGCTGAATTTAGCCAGATTTTGTAATCCAATATAAGAGACAAAGTCCTAAAACACTAGCTATTTCTAATTAAAACTGCAATCATACTGTCATGCTGGAAAACTTGTCAAGTGATCACCATTGACCCTTAAATGTCAGAGGCAAGATGAAGTTCGTTGCCCATGAAGATGAACAACTAATATCAGTTCTCCTGGAGAGATCACGATAGGACACACAGCTGTGTCTTGATTTCAGCTTTCAGTGATAACACCCAGTACATTCTACGTAGACAATCCTTACTCTGATTTGTGCTATCTGGAGGTCTTGGAAAGCAGGGAAAGAAGGTCAGTCTCCAAAGAATTTTTTACTAAAGAGAACTGGATGAAAGCATTAGTCAGGAGGGAGCACAATGTCACTTATGGTAAAGGCACCTACTAGTTAGGGTCTGCAGTCATCTACATAACAATTTGGAAAACACCTTATCAAAAATAAGGACATATCTCCAAAAGCTTCCCTATTGTCCAGATGCAGGAAATAAATGGCATGTCCTGGGACATCTGAATTCACACAACACACTTACTGTTTGGCAGATTAATTTCATATGTAATTTTATAAATAGAAAGTACCTCTGACAGGCAAAATCAGAAAAGGCAAATGGAAGG